TCCAATGCCTCTTGCTCCGATGCCTCCTACTTCGATGCCTCCTGCTTCGATGACTTCCGCTTCTAGAGTTTTGCCTCGTGGTGGGTCTTCACGCAAACAAAAACAAAAACAACCTTTGTGAAGCTCCATTTGTTAGATACATTTGTAATTTCTCGAAAATTAATGAAAAAGCTTTGTTTTATCACTGTATTGGGTTGCCTCCCAAGTAGCGCTTTCTTTAACGTCTTGCAGCCGGACGAAGAACACAATCATGCCTTAATGGAACCCACGGCATGGAGTTAATCATTGAATGGATGATGATACTTGAAATGTTCCGGCAATGGTTGAATTTCAAGAGTGGGTGCCCTAATCATTGACATCAACAACATATTAGTCAAAAACGACTTTGGATTTTGAGTTGGTGGCTTACCTACATACTCCAGTAAGAACTTAAGTACATCCTCCACGAAATGCTTCTCAAAACATTCAAGAATTGGATCTTTGTATGGAGTGGAATAGAGATCTGTCCTAAGATCCATGTAAACTCTTTCACCAAATTGGATTTGAGTAGGTGCCTGCAATGAAGAATGTAACACACGATTAATTGAAGTGGGAATTGGAATTTGAGTTGGTGGCTTACCTATGGGCTGCAATATTGGCTCTAAAGTCGCAGCACATTCAACAAATGCACAAGGGATGTTTTCATTCAGATTGGACATTCTGAAGGTTGTGGCTGTGTGATCCACTCCAATTTCCTCCTTGATGAATTCAAGATGCTCCTCAACCACTTTTTCCTCGTGAATTGTTGGAAAGGTGTCCAAGATGTCTTTCTTCCCCTCATCTTTCATGGATTGCATGAACCTGCCAGGGAAGGGTGCATTTGGGGGAACAAAGTTAGAAATAATTAAATTTGGAACAACCTTACTTGAATGGGGTGGTGTAGGAATATTGGGAGGTTGCGGCAAGGGTTGTTCTTCCCTTGCCGTGCCTTGTGCATCCTCCTCCTCTTCGAGCAGTAGCAATTCATCCATGGGCTCATCTTCAACCATTTGTTCTTGAATTTGTTCCATGCATTCTGCATTCTGCCTAAATTGACTGTTCCACTCAGCCAACTTTTTTGCTTGATAGAAATCCTCAATTGGTCGCCAAAATGCGTCTTGTTGAAATGGTTGAGCTTCCCTGCCCTGCTCCACAGAATTCAGTTGTTGAATAACTTCCTTATAATAATTTGATATACCTGAATTTGGATGTGAAGATTGAGGGGAAGGCTGTGGTGGTGCATATGAATCCTCATATGGTTGCCAATATGTTTCTTGGTGAGTCTCCTTAGCTTGATTTTGTGAACCCTGCACCAAAGAGTTTAATTCATTAAGAATTTGATTATAATCTATTGACGAATTTGAGTTTGGTTGGGCATATTGAATATGAGGTGGCTCCCAATATCTTTCTTGTTGAACATTTTGAGATTCCCACCACATAGAAGTTGAATGATCACTCCAATCCGAATTGTAAGTATTGGAAAACACGTTATTCCTTGATTGAAGATCAACTATATCAACGTTTTGCATTTGGGACCTTTCCATGAGCTGTGACAAAAGATAAGCATTATCAAGTGCCATGTTGTGCTTCTAAAATCAACAAAATAAAACTAAAAATATATACACACAAACGAAAAAAAACAATCCAAGAGATTAGCAAAGTTGCTAATCCCCGGCAACGGCGCCAAAATTTGATGCGAGAATTATACGCACACAAATTAAACCCTCTTTTTGTCAATTGTAGTATAAGTATAAGTAGGGATCGTTCTGGACCGGGGATTAGGAGGGATTGTTAACCACTTGGATTTGACTTCAAAAACGTAAAAACAATATAAACACTAAACTAGACTCAAAGAATGTGAAAGTAAACGTTAAAACACTAAGACAAACCGAAAGACTCAAAATGCTTTAAAAACACAAACTAAAATGATTTCTAACTAAATTGAACAATAAAGTAAAGGGGGATTGAGTTTTGGACGGAATTAAACTAAATGAACAAATTGCAATTAAAACATAATGTAAATATGAAATTGATGAAATGGAATGAATGGATGCTAGCCAAGGGGTTCATCTCCACACATGTTACACTTGCATAATAAAAAGATTTCTAATTGCTTTTCAATAAACCATGAATTCTCAACGCCCCGGGTTAATTAGGTCCGCTTAAATTAACCGTCAAGTTTTCCTTAAGTTAATGAATTGGATGATTGCATACGACAATCCAAAGCATTCCTCACAAGTTCCCTACATGAATTGCATAATAGAGATACAAGCAAGAATCACTAAGCATCATGAAAACTATAAGTGTTGACGAGACATTCGTTACTATGATTGCATGAAACTTATGCCAAGAATATGTTTAACACGATTGTTTATAAGCAACCTCTTTATTAAGAATGAACGCTTAATTTTCATGCATGAATTTGACGCTAGAATATAAGTGAGTTTCACGTAATAGTTATGAACTTATATTCACAAGTAGTGGAGGTTGCTTATAAACAATCGTGTTAAACATATTCTTGGCATAAGTTTCATGCAATCATAGTAACGAATGTCTCGTCAACACTTATAGTTTTCATGATGCTTAATGATTCTTGCTTGTATCTCTATTATGCAATTCATGTAGGGAACTTGTGAGGAATGCTTTGGATTGTCGTATGCAATCATCCAATTCATTAACTTAAGGAAAACTTGACGGTTAATTTAAGCGAACCTAATTAACCCGGGGCGTTGAGAATTCATGGTTTATTGAAAAGCAATTAGAAATCTTTTTATTATGCAAGTGTAACATGTGTGGAGATGAACCCCTTGGCTAGCATCCATTCATTCCATTTCTCATACGTACAAAACAAAGAGAATTGAATTTAAACTTTGAAATCAAAGAAACACCTAAACGTTCCAACAACTCAAACTTGAATTGTGTGAACGTTTAGGCCCTCTTATCTTCCTCTTTATTGTAGCATAAGGTCTAGGGATAGTTGGTTGGGGGGATGGAAGTGTGGAATGGAGTGGGGAGTGATGGAAATGGAAGATGGTTTTTGGATTCTAAGGGGAAGTGTTTATTTGTGGTGTGAGAATGGAGAGATGGAATTGAATGAAATGGAAGTGTGGGATGAATTGAATGATGCAAATGAATGAAGTGTGTGTGGTTTATATAGGGAGAGAATGGATGGGAGAGCATGTGAATGATAGCTAGGAGAATGATTAAAGGGGTGTGAATGGATGGAAATGCATGTGGGTGAATTGGTGGTGCAATGATGAAAGAATAAGTGCATGTGTGTGTTTTGTGTTGGAATGAATGTGGATGCATGATGAAGAGTTAATAAATAATGCATGTAGGGTTAGGAAATAAAATCATAACTTAAAGGGGGGATGATTAAAGGGTGTGTGAATGCATGTGTTGAATTGGTGGTTCAATGATGAAAGAATAAGTGCATGTGTGTGTGAATGGTGGTAGCTAGGGTGAATTATGATAAATGCATGTGGAATAAAGATGGAGAAGGTGGTGAAATGATGAAGTAGGAAGGTGGAAATGCATGTGAGATGTTCTTTGGAGAAAGGTGGATGAATGTGCATGTGAATTAAGTTGTGAAAGCATGTGGAATGTTTTAAATGGTTGAAATGTGTAGATGATTATGAGTATGATAAGTGATAAGTGTATGGTTATGATAAGTGATAAATGAATGATATGTGGTGATAAATGAATGATATGATAAATGAATGATATGTTAAGTAATAAATGAATGATATGTGGTGAGTGATAAGTGAATGGTTTGATAATTGATAAATGAATGATATGCTAAGTGATAAATGAATGATATGTTAAGTGATAAATGAATGATATGTTAAGTGATGATAAGTAATGATAGGTGGTTATGATAGTTTGGTCTTTAATTTCGTCCATTCCTTTTGCTCCAAATATAAGCTATCCAATCCAAGTCCGATTTTGCTCCAAAATGCTCCAAAAGGCATCATTTTGCATACCTTGCCCTTAGAACCTAAAAACACACAAAAGAAGCATAAAGGACTAAAATAACTAGAGAAACATAACGTAAATGCACGAGAACAAGCCTTTTAAGTCGCATGAATATGCTCCTATCACAGGTCGCAACCACATGACTGCATTCTTTATAATTGACTCAAAGACTGACTATAATGTATTGCTCAGCCATGATTGGATCCATCAAATAAGTTGCATCCCTTCATCACTGTACCAAGTTCTCATCTTTTGGGACGGCAAATCGATTGTAGTTCATCCAGCCGATAATCAGTCGTTTGAGACCAACATAATTCAGGCTCACTATTATGACGATCACGTCAGCTACATGACCCTACAGGGTTTTAACGAAGACGGACGACCGACTTAAATTTCAGTTCAGAAAGCCATCGAGGTAGGCGTCGAGACTGTACAACAAGATTCGACGAGACTCAGCTTGGCTGATCTAATTACCAACGTCGATGATTGACATTGCCAAACAAGAACGGTATTGGGCCGTGGTTTCATCCACCATGGAACGTCTCCTAGCTCATTGGTATGCCATTGCCAAGTAACCACACTCGGGTGTAAACTTAATCGAATTTTTGGCCGAAACGAATAATGGCCTAGTTTTATCGTTAGACAAAGTTCAGGCCGCACTGGCCAAACTCGAAGACAATTACCCTAAGTCAAAAACCCATTAGAAGAAATAAATGTTGGCACAGCCGACGAGCCTCGATCGTTGTTTCTTAGTGCTTTGTTGCCGCCCCCCATGAAGGTCGAGCTTTGTAAACTACTTCATGAAGTTAAAGCTTGTTTCGCGTGGAATTATCATGAGATGCCAAGCCTTGACCGAAACCTCGTCGAACATGAGTTACACATCAAAGTGGGTTGTAAGCCTTTTTGACAACCCCCACACCAGTTCTCGACAGAAGTACAGCTCGACATAAAGGACAAATTAGTTCGGCTTTTGAAAGCCGATTTATTCAGACCGCTCGATACGTCGAATGGTTAGCCAATATCATCTAGGTGTTAAAGAAAAATGGAGCCTACACATCTGTATTGATTTCCGTAATTTGAATCTGGCAACTCCTAAGGATGAATACACAATGCTAATCTCGGATTTACTGATTGATGCCGCAGCCAATCATGAAATGTTGTACTTCATGGACAGCTATGCCAGTTACAACCAGATCTTTATCGCTGAAGCTGACGTTCACAAAACCGTCTTCCGTTACCCGGGGTCACTTGGCACCTACAAATGGGTCGTCATGTCATTCGACCTTAAGAACGTCGGTGCCCTATACCAACGAGCTATGAATATCATATTCCATGATTTCATCAGTACGGTCGTAGAAGTTTATATCGATGATGTGGTTGTGAAATCGAAAAGTCGCTGAACGCACCTAGATGATCTTCGGCAAGTTTTCCTTTGTATGCGTCAACATAATCTCAAAATGAACCCGGCCAAATGCGTCTTCAGTGTATCAGCCGGTAATTTTTTGGGTTTTCTTATGCACCATCGTGGCATAAAGGTTGACGAAAATAAAGTTCACACAATCATTAATGCTCCACCCCCGACGACCAAGAAGCAACTCCAATCGTTACTCAGGAAGATAAATTTTCTCCGTCGTTTCATAGCTAATTTGGCAAGCAACATGAAAGCTTTCTCTACACACTTGAAACTTAAAGACTCAGATAAGTTTGAGTGGCGCAAGATAACGATGATGGGCGTGAACAAGCTATCTTTTATCTCAGCCGGAATTTGAATTCACCTGAGATCAATTATTTACCCGTCGAGAAACTTTGCTTAACTTTGTTTTTCACCGCAACCAAACTTCAACATTATATGCTCCCATTAGTTACCCAAGTCATCGCCCAAACAGATGTTATTCGTTACATGCTTACTCGGCCTATCATCAAAGGCCGAATTGGGAAATGGACCATGGCATTATCCGAGTTTAGTTTGCAGTACGTCCCTCAAAAGGCTGTCAAAGGTCAAGCCTTAGCCGATTTTTTGGCCCAGTACCCCTCTTCTTATGGTTTTGGGGGCAGCGAAGCCGACATCGGTTTAGTCTAAACACGCGACAACTACTTGACAATGCACTTTGATGGATCTAGCACCGCTACCTCGACTGGTGTTGGTATCATCATTCAATCCCCCGACCACTACCGATGGTGTTTCTCTCTTACGTTAGATTTCAGCTGTACGAATAAACAGGCCAAGCATAAAGCTCTCATCATCGGCCTTCACGTCCTCCACTACTTAAGGGCAACCCATGTCCTCATCCTTGGTGATTCCGAACTCGTGATTAACCAATTAAACGACATTTTTGGTTGCATGAGTTGTACTTTGGCACCTTAGCACATGGTTGCCACCTATTTGGCCGAGTTATTTGAGCGAATAACATTTGAGCACATTTCGCGTGTTCGAAACATTGACGCAGACGAACTCACCCAAATAGCCTCCGAAGCACAACTCACCGGGGGCAAGTTAGGCCGGGTAACACCCACAGAACTACGATCTTAACCAGCATTGGTCAATCAGCAAGTCCTCCAGTGTAATCACATCATGCGCACGAGAGTGATGTCTTTACCATCGTTATTAGAGCGAGGAGACCCCGTAGAAGTATATGTTGTCGAGACACTACCAGACGATTGAAAAAAGGTGATTTTACGATATCTCGACAACCCCAACGATAAACACGACCAGAGGATGAGGATCCACGCCACGAATTACATGTCATACCAGAATGGATTATATCAAAAAGGTGAGGATGGGTTACTATTATTGTGCCTTGGCCCATAGGATGTTGCCCAAGCAATGGCCGAGGTACACGAAGGGATCTATGAAACGCACCAATCCGGGCGTAAGATGCGTTGGCTGCTTCATCGACATGGCTATTTATGGACGAGTATATTGAAGGATTGTATCAAATACGCCCAAGGATGTATACAGTGTCAGATTCATGGGCCTATACATAAAGTCCCAGGCAAATTACCCCATTCGGTTACCAAACCATGGCCGTTCAGAGGATGGGCAATGGACCTAATTGGCAAAATCACGCTGTCTTCTGAAGCAGCAACACACGCATGGATATTAATGGCAACCGATTATTTCACAAAATGGGTAGCCGCAAGATCATACGCTGTATTAACGTCCAAAGAAATCTGTAGTTTCGTAGAAGAAAATATTGTGACTCGATTCGGAGTACCAAAAATGATCATAACTGACAATGGTATAATCTTTATGGCCGACAGGTTTAAAGAGTATATGGCGAACCTAAAAATTCGACTCGAGTAGTCTACGCCGTATTATCCGTAGGCAAATGGGCAGGCCGAAGCAAGTAATAAAGTTTTGATTGGTATTCTTGAAAAAATGGTAAGAGAAAGGCCGGGGATGTGGTATTTGAAGCTAAATGAAGCATTATAGGCCTATCAAACTTCACTCCGATCAGCCACCGGAACAACTCCATATGCCTTAACATATAGACACGATGCAATATTACCGGTTGAGCTTAGTATAAATTCATTGCGAGTAATTGAACAGAGTAGTTTGATCAGTGCCGAATACAATCAGGCCATGAGGCAGGAGTTAGAAGATTTGGAGGAGACGCAACTTGACGCTTATAACTTATTAATGGTGCAGAAACATATTGCTTAGTGAGCCTATAATCAACGAGTTAGGCAGAAAACGTTCAGCAAGGGAGAATTAGTTTGGCAAACTGTGTTACCCGTAGGAATTAAAGATCCCAAGTTCAGTAAATGGTTGGCGAATTGGGAAGGTCCATTCATCGTACATAAAATTCTCAGCAATGGGGCATACCATCTTAGTGACCGGACCGGTTTAATACACAAATTACCAATCGATGGGAAATTTTTAAAGAAGTATTATTCGGTCACATGGGAGATGCGAGAATAGTTTATTTCATTAATGAGCTTGCAAAAATGAGTATACAAGTACAGATGGTCAATTCGTTTACAGCTAAATATCCCTAAAGTAAGAAGGGAATGAGAGTTTCAAGGACATCCTTCAATTCCAAGCACCTGACTTCACCCATCGTGACCTCGGCCTGCCAATTCCATTTATCCATCTTCAGCTGCTTGATCTACCGCACACTAGCCACATATTCGATCAGGCAGGATTTACCACCCGACTTGAAATCTCTTGCAAGCTCGGAAGTAACGACCGACCACCGGTTTTGAAGTTCGGTAATTTGATAATCGAGGTCGGTCAGCGCTTCTTTCTTCATCTTCAACATGTCGACCTGTGGACACAAAGCTTCTTGAACGACCATCGTAACTATCAAGTCGTCTTCCGCCTGAAGAGATCTTTTGAAAATACCGAAATATTCTCGAGTTCGTTCCAAAGTAGAAGCTGCTAGAGTAATGGCTTTGTTACCTAACTGACCATCAGTCGTAAGATCATTCAGTTATGCCTCTACGGAGTCGAGGCCCTGGCACTCAAGAATTTGTAACGCTGAAAGAGACAGCAGTTCCTGCAGCTTGACGAAGGCATCTGGTTCAGCCGTTGACACGGAAGGTTTGGTTGCAATGGTTGAAATGTTAGCCGCTCCTGATGTAGTCACAATCAAGGCATCAAGCTTGACCTCCCATGAAGGCTGCGCAGAAAAGAAAATTTGTAAGCAAAAAGAAAATTATAAGGAATGCATAACAGAGGGAATTTATTTCTAAACCTGCCAAGAGGAGACTTCGGCCATGTCCTCTGGTTCATTGCTCGAACCTAGAGAACTTAATGGCCGAGCCCAGTGTCTAAGACTACTTCTCAATTCACATGGCCGATGGAGTTTATCTACATTTGATGGCCACTGAGGTGGCTAGGAAATGTAGATAACACCCTTCGACGTATAGAATTGTCAGTGAAATGAACGTTCAGGCACCTGACATTTAATATTTTCCTGGGTTCAGATGCGTCATAATAAAATTAATGAAGAAAAGGGGAACGAGCCTTACAAAAGCCGAGGTAACTTCTTGTGGAGGAATGTCGAGGTTTTCATCTTATGGATGGAGCGGCGTTTCTGCCATCGCCTCAGGCTATACCAAGGGTATTTTCCCACGATCGACCATGGGAGAATCCTGTTGAACAGCCGCCTCAACCACGGGGGGAGGATTGGCGGAAGGAAGGTCAACTGGTCGAGGGCGACGTTCTAGTGTAATCTCATCACCTTCGTCGCTCTCATCGTCCTGAAATAAAAAGCTGTTACGACTTGTAAATCTGATAAAATGAAGATCACTAGCAATAAAATAATACCCCTTCCAGAATGATCGTCGGTTATTTGATAGGAGTTAACTCGACGGGTGTGGTCGTTTCCTCCAAAACAGGTGCAACGGTCGGCTTTGAAGCTGCAGCTAGTTCAACCACGACCCTAGGGATCGAGGCAGCCCGTTAGTGGGATGGCATTGGCAGTTGTTTCGTCAAGGACTGGATAACCTAAACGGGATGAGAGACACTACGATTGATCACTCCCGTGGTCTGGCTGGAGATGACGTGAATCTCGCGTTCCCCCTTTTTCACCAATTTCTTGACGCGTTCTGGAGGTTGAGGAGCATCCTCTCTCGTCTCGACGTCTAGAAGGGGTCGTTTGATCAGCGGGGTTTGCGCGGTGGTTTTAGTTTTCTTAGAGGAGGGGGCCAATTTTTTCTTGGTTGCAGCCACGACAACCACATCTGCTCGTTTTAATACACGACCACCTAAGAGAGCGAAATCAAGTTAGTAAAATTGAGCAAGTAATTGAAATATAAAGGTAGAAATACCTTAGGTTGTTTCTTTGGATTGGGCAACAAGAGTTTTTTGGGTCAGTCGCCGAAGATTTTATTGACCATGTCTTCAGTTAAGAAACCAAAGAAGTCGCGGGTATACTCTTCCCACCAGTCCCCGAAGGTGAGTACCAAAAAATTCAGGAACGGTCGGTCGGAGTCAAAATTTTTTACACTTTTCCTGAAACATTTTTTCTGTATCTCTACACTCCCTCTCGGAGGAACCAGAAAGGTGTCCTCGACTTAAGAAAGAGCGATAAGTAAGTAGGGGTACTGGGCAACCTTAGAGGTAGCCGAGCTACCGGGCAACAAAGTGAGGATAATAGACCTCCCAACTGGCTTGGCAAGCATCGCAACTGAAGGGAAGGTCGTGTGTCAACACGAGCGATCCCTAGTGTTGACAAAGATCAGCATCTTCAGTCTCATCCCATGTTGATTTCAGAAGCCTGATCGAGGCGGGGTATTCTTGACGCCGACATATTAAGAATTCGTCGTCAGAAATGACGTCTAGGCCAAAGAAATGTTTAAAGACTTCATCGGCCTGAAGGAAAATTTGTGAAAAACATGTTCATTTAAGCAACATCAATAGCATGCAATTAACAATTAAAGGCGGAATCATGCT